GGTTATCTGAGATAATAGTTTCTGGTAAGAAAGCAGTGTCAGTATATACTGACTTGGGAGAATTTGAAGTTTGTTTATTGGGATACGATGCTGGGGTGAATGCTGGACTTGGGGTAACAAATGGACTTTGTGGAGGAGATTGGATTATGTATTCTGGTACATTTGTGGACCTCAAGGGTGACATAGGGGTTAGGTCAAGAGGAGAATGACTGGGCATGAGAGGCCCATATCTATTGCTTTGAATTAGGTCCATTGGTTGTTTGCCTTTGGAAGAAGGATTCATTTTTGTATTAGTAATATGTTTAGAGATATGCAAACCTTGAGAAGAGAAAACTGTAGGGCGAAATGTCCTGTTGTCTTCTTTAGGAGGATGATGGTGGATATGGTCCCCCCTGCAAAAATTCACGGGTTAAGAAGTCAGGAAGGGAATTAGAAGAGCCGTGCAGATGTTCAATGGAAAAATCGAATGCAGATAAAATTGCTTGCCAACGGGCAAAAATTTGTTTAGAAACAAGATTTTGGACATCTTTTTGCAGAATATCCTTTGCAGCTTTACAATCAGTGCGTATGAGAAAATGTTGATTGAGAATACCTTTAAATAGACTAGAGATCTATAAAGTTGTATGAGAAAATGTTGATTGAGAATACCATAAATAGTCTACTACCGCTATATATATATATGAAAGGTCAGCCCACTAGTTGATGGTCACGATTGTATTTCGTATTTGAATTTTATTTTTTTGGTACAAATCTAATCACTTGAAATTTGGACCGTCAATTTTTAAAAAGTATGCGAATCTAATAAAAATATAGAAAAAATAATTCACAAAAAATAAATAGATCAAAATAGTTCACGGTTGTTTTGGTAAATTTATTTTTTTGAATTATTTTTGTAATATTTTTATTAGGTGCGCCTTGATGAGAAGATGGATGCTCCAAATTTCATATAATTTGGATTTGTATAAAAAAGAGTTAAATTCAAATACAAAATGCAGTCGTGACTGTTAGATCGGCCCAAATTCAACCTGGGCCATTAGGCTTACACTATTCCATCTGCCATGGGCTAACAGGATCTTTTCCCATTATATATATTGTGATAAGTAGTTATTAATATCATGATGGTCAGTTTGCTTTATCATTGTTTTCCTCCCTTTATAGGTCATTACAGAGGGCACTTGATAGAAGACTCTATCTGCTCTTGTATGGTACTGCATTTGGTACATCAAATAAAAATCCAGTTTGGCACTTTCCTGAGAAGGTTTATGGGACTGAAGAAACATTGCGCAAGGTGAGGCTCTCGCAGTTTTATCTTGTGCACTGAGCATCAACTCTCTCTCTCTCTCTCTCTCTTAAGAATAACTGAATCTGATATCTCAGTGTGCAGAATCAGCTTTACAATCTGTGATTGGAGACCTTTCCAATACATACTTTGTTGGGAATGCTCCTTTTGCTCATATGGCTATACAGCCCTTTGAGTCAGATTCTGATCTTCCCACTTTCAAGGTATGTGCTTTTATGATCTACCTCTATTTTCCTTTTGTTGGCCGAATCTTATAATCTATGTTATCTATAATCTGCAACATATTTTCTGGCCTCTTTGAGCCTCTTCAATCAGCTATTTGTGCTTTGTTGCATCTTATTCTATGCATTACAGGCGGGCATTGTATCCACTCTAATAGGCCATTCACTTTTGCTACAAGGAAGTCATAAACACCCTTAGCCATCAGATGTGAAATTCGACACTTACATAGTTCGAGAAATTATATTTTTGATTTTGTACCAGTCATTAGCACACCTTGAGTCACCCGATTTCACATCTAATGGTCGATAATGATTGTTATTTCCTTATACTAAAAATATTTCCTTATAGGTGCTTTTGATGTTTTTTGTCATTTACATTTAGCATAATTACATATTGGTAAAAATTTATCCAAAAGGGAAATGCATAAGAGGCACAATATTTTTTATTAGGCATGAGTAACTCATCTTTTGCTCACTGAAAGTCTATTGAACCCCTATTTGGTTTAGTTTGCTCCTTTAGTTTTCTTCTTCTCTTTTAATTTTTCCACAAAATGCAATTGTTGCCATCTTTGCATAGCTTGCAGAGTTCAATGTCTACTGTCACCCAAACATGGGTTTGATGGATCTGTTTTCTCACATGGATTGTATAAATTTCCATTTGGTTGTGTACTCACATTCATGAGAGGGAGGGAGGGAGGGAGTGGGTGGGGGCGGTGGGTTGGGGTGGGGCCGGTGGGTTGGGAGAATACAGATCTCGAAGATGCTTGTTGCTGAACTTGGAACGCGTTCTACTCTTTTGGTATGCATCTCTCAAATTAGGCAGCAAGCAGTCTTGTTGAAGTGCTTTGGTAAGCAGCCAAATTTGGAAATCATGGCTTGGTGCGTATAGGCTTTACGAAAAGATAAAAGTAGTGGCTAATATGCTTTTTAGCTGTTGAATTTATAGATTTGGAGCTATGGGTTCATGTGCAATCTTTTGAAATTAAAGGAAAATCTCGGCTGCGTTTGACATTTTATTTTCCTTCACTGGATTATGTAACTTTGCAGGTTGGATATATCACTTGATTACATAATTTATTTCTTGATTTATTTGCAGAGATTCTTCTTCAAGTCACAAGTGATTGGCACCAGCAGGTTTGGTGTGAGGGAGTGTGAGGATCACGTTTGGGTGACCAAAGACGAATTGTTGGAATACTTCCCAGACCAAGCTGCATTCCTCAACAAGATGATCATCAGCTGATAAAAAAAGCAATTTTGGTCCAATTTTGTGTTGTAGAAAAATGTTGAAATATTCTTATTAAAAAATCTTCAGTGATCTGGGTCTCGGTTTGTGATTACGTACGAGGAAGAACACTCTCTATATGTGGTCTCCGGGCTTGATCAAGAAAGTAGAGAATCTAGAATCGTCTTTGAACTCGAAAGTGAAATTTAGTGGTTTGGTGTGCATGTGTTGTCTCTTTTTAGATTTGTGGAAATTGTTTGCTTATAAGTTATATGGACACTGAGATGGGTGTCCTATCTGGTACGCATCTTAGATGTCTGGTACTTGGCCAAAAACCCCAGATGGTTCCAATACATTTGTATATTTGTATTGAAGGGGATCATGTCGGTTCTTTTGCAGTGAGGGATGTACTATTTTTGTTGGGAGCTTAGGGACATTTCCATGATATAGGGATGGTTTTACAACTAGAAAAGTATAAAAAATTCTGCCATCTTCCTGCTTTTCCCTGCTCGTATAGCTCTCCCTGGTTTGATTGGCGGAGAGCCACCTGGTTGGTAGCTTTCCGTGTCTGTCCCCTACTCCCATCCCCTGCTCAATCGATGTTAAAGCATCTATGTTAGGGAAATTTATCAAAATACACCAACATTTGAACCATTTTACGTTGAATGTATTTTGATAAATTTGAATACTCATTTTGATGTATCATTAGTTGGGCTATTTTAAATTTGATCAAAATATTGATGAGCAACTTGAAATTAGATCAAATGGTATGTGAGAGATATTAAATCGTTCAAATCATGTAATTTAAACCTCCATATGTTTTATATGCTTCAATGTTTATTGTTGGAAAAGTCATTCATTCATGGGTCGGTGGGTGCAAGAGCTTGCTGACTCACCAATGGATATCGTAAAAAATGCAAAGGCCTATACAGTGTAGGTTTTTTTTTTTATTTAAAAAAATCACATTTTAACAATAAAATTTTTTATTTCATTTTCATGTTCATGATCATCTTAACTTAGATCATGAATTCCTTGAACTGTAGATTAAATCTCCATTTTTAAAATGGTTTAATGGGGGCCCACATATGTACAGTATGAGTCGTATAACTGATAGAAACGCATCCTTTATAGTTGATGATGCAACTCTCTCTCATTCTATTGTCTCTACCCGAGTGGAGAGACAATAGGGTGAGCTTCTTTATCAACCTAAACCCTACTACTCCTAGGAGCCTCCTCTCTCCCTTCAAACTAACCTACCCCCGACCTCTCCCACTTATTCTATCCATCGGATGCTATCGGATCATTATAGGCATTTAATGGATTTTAGATCATGATGAGCTATGAGTAAAGTATTGTACGAACTCACTTATAGGCATTTTAAAGTGTTTTTCATAGATAAATTTATCGAAATTTATATGGCATAATATATAATATTTTATCGAGCCTGACTTGGGCTATGGCCTCAATACTCAAGATTTGGGCTGGGCCTTGGCTTGGGCTGAAAATTGCTTTCAAGCTTGGGCGGGGCCCAACCTATGATGAGCTAGTCTGATCCCAGCCCATTGGTAGCCCTACCAGCTAACATAACTTTGGCTTATCCAAAAAAAAAATTGACTGAGAACTGCTTAGGAGTCGATTGTTGACTTGGACTCAAATTAAACCAACAAAATTAAATTAGACAATAATTTTAATATGTTTCATATCATTATTGTTATTAATATTTTTTGAAAGATACATTTTGTTCATAGTAAATTATGACGATGGAGATCCACCCAAAAAAAAGAACAAGTGGAGGAAAGAAATTGAAATGCAAAAGAAGAGAAAAAGGAAGCCAAGAGAAAAAAGAAGAAGAAATAGAGGGAAGGGAAAGGAAGGGAAAGAAGAGAAGCATGGAACATTAAGGGAAAAAAAAAAGAAGGGAAAAAGGCTAGAGAAGAGAGGCAGGGGAGACAGAAGGAGAGAGCAGAAAAGAGATGGATGCAATGATGAGATGAAGGAAATAGAAAAGGAAAAGTTTATATAAGGTTGCAACCTTGTACTATAGAAATAATTTGCACCTCAAAAATCCAGTAGAAACGAGTATTCTAAAGTTGGGAAACCTTCCAATTAATTATGACCTCGCAATGTATGTATATAAAGAAAAAAAACAAGTCTTAAAAATATTGTATCTTGTAACAATTTATTTTGACAGTCAATTTTCAAAAATTTCAAGTGTCTATATATCTACTCTGCACTAATTTTAAAATTTTAAATTTCATAATTATTATTGAACATGGACCATTGTAAGATTTCTGACATTAGAAGTACATCTTCCGAAAATTTAGAGGCGTGCGTTATTTGTACAGTACGAGGTGGGCATTTTATACAAACCTTACCGAATAAAAGATGAAGCTGAAATAGAAAGAAGTTTAAGAGAGGGGAATAAACATAGACAAGAAAGAAAAAAAAAAGGAAGGAAAAGTACTAGGAAAAAATAGTAAATGAAAAAAACAAAACAAAAGATAGGCCCAACATAGGCCATCACAATTTAATGAAAATAGCAGAGTTCTTGCAAAGAATTCAACTGCTTTGACCTCTGAATAATAACTGCTGCAAATTCTTCATTTAGCGAGGTGGTCCCATATTAATCTTTACTACCCCTGAATTTTGAGATTATGAACGATTCACAAGGTATATGATCAACACTGAAATTGTTATGCAATACCACCAGTAAGCATCATATTATAAAATTAATATTATTACAAGGATAATAAACAAGGTATTTGTATTCTATACCTTGTGAGTTTTAGTGATTGTACACAGATTAATAGACATCATAATGATTAGAATCGAAAACTTTTCAAGTATTTGTTAGGTATTGAATCGACCAATTGTTCAGGTCCTAAGGTATGGGCTATTGAAGTCAAACCCCTAAATGGGGCTTTCATTTTTGCAACGGATCTGGATCTCGATTATTGAGGGCCGTCATCAATCCCCATCTTTTTATTTATTTATTATGTTTAATTTATAATTATAGTTCACATAAGTGATGGCAATTGTTGACATGGAATTCCATTATTGATATGGAATTCTGTAGGGTTTTTTGAGCTAGTGTTCTTGTTGATTATGGTAAATTTATTTATTTATTCATTAATTTAGATATAATTCTTGTTCATTTTATTATTATTGTTGTCCACAATTTATTAAATTGCTCACTTATGTTAGGTCACGTGAGTACGGAACTTTATTAAATGCATGAATATATTCAATACTATAGGTACCGAACAATATTTTTTACAAAAACTATCTCCAATATTTGGAGATTCTATGCTGTAAGTTTTCTGGGTATGAATAATAATAATTACTATAGAAAATTATGTCTAAGCTACTTTCTTTTACCAATATTTTATACTGTATTTTTTAATTATAAAATACAACTAGATTTATCCCATATTGCAGTTGTCCAATGCGTTGTCCTATAAAGCTAGTACAACTAGACACATCAGTTTATTTTTCTTTTATAAATAAAATATTATATATTTATAATATAATATATAATTTTCTCTATCAATTTCATCTTCTTTGTAGGTGGAGAAGAGGCAGTGTGAGTGGTGAAAGCTCAGAATTGAGCCATATCAAGTGCTCAAAATATACTCTTTACTGTTTATAATATAATCGCATGTCAACATATGTCGATACGCATAACCTATAATCATGTATGGCGGTAATACACAACCCCACCTATGAAACAATGTACAAAGTGATGCCTACGACAACACAGCAACCATGCTGCCCACCATGTCACTCCCCTTTGTATTCTTGTACAGTTTTGTAAGTATTCCAAAGTTACGAGCTCTCACTTACTATAATCATCAATAGGCCACTCATGACTACAGGAAAAACATTTGTTTTCTTTTCAAGAGGGGAAAGAGAGTGCTCTTTCTTATTAAGTAAGCAGGGAAGAGAAATTGAACTATGAACAACTGGATAGCTTCCAAATTGTTTTTCACTATTCTTGAATGAATGTACTTGAGAATACGGCACAGTAATGAATAGCTGCACCTCCAAACTTGGCCCTAGATGTTTACATGTAAATGCACTTATGCACTAATCATCAGGCCAGGGATTGAATGTTAGTGTTTTCTTTTTTTTTTCCTGAAATGCTGGGTTAGGATTTTTGGACTTTTCTAAACAAATTTCAATGTTTAAGTCTTTCATGTCCTTCACCCAAACTGAGGTGGCTTCCTATGAGACAAGCCTAGGAGACCCCAGAAAAAAAAAACAAAAAAATCATGCAAAGGACCGATCTAGAAGGACTCAAAGGCCTAATATTTTTTTTGATAGTGTTAGTTGGAATGGAAGCCACAACGTGCAACTAAAATAGAACCAAATGCCCAATTAAAAGTTTGTTATTAAGCAAGTATAGGATTCTCATGCGTCTCTTTTTCTCTATTTTATTTTATTTTTTTTAAAAAAGACAAGGTTTCACATAAAAAAACGAGGGTAACCACAGCCTTAGGATCACAAAGGATGTCATTAAAGAAAAGATAGAATTGGCTTTTTATAAAGGAAGAGAATTACTTTTTAGAAAGGGAAAAGACTCGTATTCTTTGCTCCCAAGTTGCTTTTGCATATAGTTTACTTCATATAAAGAAAAAAACTCGTATTCTTTGCTTCCAATTGGCTTTAGAATAAGATTTGCTTCCCATAAAGAAAAAGACTCATTCTTTGCTCCCAATTGGTTACATATAAAGACTCTAACCATGACCTATTCCAAAAAAGGATGCTAACCATAAATTTTATTATTATGTTAAGCATTATTTGAGAATTATTGGAAACCTGGGGACTGTTTGGTTGACTATCATGATCCACTCACTTCTAGGTTCCACAATTCGGAAGGGGTGAGAGCTTCCAACTGACAGACTTGTTTGGCTCGCAAATAACCAACATTTTTATTCAATAACATGAACATAGAAAATGTATATGAGATGGGATATTAAGAGATACCATCGTGTAATGTATAATCAAATTGGGAACAAAATATGAATTTCAATGCAAAACAAATCTCATTTGATCATATAGATTTTTAAGTTCCTTCGTTATTGTTATCAGTCTTATATGTAAACAACTTAAAAAAAATCATAACTTTCAAGAGTTGACACTTCAACTCATGACACAAGCTAAGCGGGCAGTACAACTTAGTACCACTATAAATACAACCCATTGCACCACTCTAAACACTTTAAGTTAATATTAACACAATAAATTATATTTTAATAAAAATCTTTTGATTTTATTTAAGTCTCTATCTTTATTGTTGTTAGTATTATACCTAAACAACCTAAAAAGTATAAACTTTGTAGAGTTGGCACCAGCACAACACAAGTTGAACAGGCATCACAATATAGCACCACCACAAACATAAATCCTTGCATTGCTCTAAGCATTAGTTTACTTCATATTAATATAAAAGAAAGTGATTGGTGAGTCAGCCAACTCAAATGTAGATGCGCGGCCCTCTTCAAAATTCATCTTTAAGATAGATTTTGAATCTAAAATTTTAGGATTTGTTAATCTCATCTATCATAATGATTACAAATTTGAAATATTTATTTTGAAAACTAAAAATCATACTTTTTAGATTGTTGTTTTCACAATCCGTTTTGAGGTATAAAATCAATGAAATTACAGATTTTTCTTTTCAAAGTTTCATTTGCTCGTATTCAATATAAACTACATAGGTTGTTCTTGCATGTTCTTACAGTTGAAAATTTTCATTATTACCTTTTTGCTGAGTATCTCTAGAGCCAGTTAGTGTTAATACCTAAACTCATAGTACAAGTTCAGGAGGCAACACAAATTCTTAAAAAGGAAAAGATTCTAAGTTTTTGCTCTCAATTGGTTAAAGATAAAGATGCTAATCATAACTCAGCCAAAAAACAAGAGAGATGCTAATCATACAGTGATTGTTATTATGCCGAGTGTAATTTGAAAATTACCACAAATTAGACTATTATGATCCATCCATTTTCGGCTTCCACAAGTGGGATTGGGTGAGAGTCCGTAATTGACAGACATTTGGATCGTAAAGAATGAAAAGAAAGAGAAGCCTGAATTTTGTGTTTTTTGCGTGTCAAATAATATGCGATGAGGGTTATGCAAACATGCAATAATCCAAAGTCAAAAAAATCTCCATTTGTTTTTTTTGGGTAATTTAGCGGGGAAGACCGATCCCTATCCGTTTTTTAAATAGTTTGGGTGTTAGTTTTTTTTTATGGTATTAATGGTGTGGTGTCAGTGGGAATGAAAACCACAACATAGTGACTAGGGTATGAGGGTACTATCACAGCAACCCAACCCTTTCCCATCAGAAAATCTCCATTTCTACTGTCCAAGTGCTGTTTCATTGATGCTTATAAGGAATATAGGTGATGTGCATATGCTTCTTTCTTTTCAACTGAGCTTATTCTTTCCTTCCCATCCATTGGAAAAGGAGAAGATAGTAGAGGAAAGTAACCTAAGATAGTAGAGGAAAGTAACCTGATCTTGATCTAATAAAATGTGCATAGCCCACCTTTTCCTTCGAGCAAATCCTTTGCTTCCTAAACAGAAAATCCAGGCCAACCTCACCATATAAACTAATGTATGAGAATCAAATTCTAAAAAAAAGCATATCGAAATTAGTTTTCTAACTATTAGATATGCCTTGCTCCCTCTATGCTTTACCCCATTCTTTGCTTCCCAAGTTAAAAAGAGAAGATACCACACGTTAATTGATCATTGATACTTATAAGTAGCCATATCTTGATGCATTGCCATCTTCATTTTAAGCCCATTCTCTGCTTCCCCAATAGAAATAGAGCTAATAGCGTAGAGAGATACTTCCCATTGCAAACACACACAATTTGGGCGAGGTCTTGGTTTTGAGGACGCAGCATTGGCCGAATCTGCCGTTTCTTTTGGAGAGGTTGAATGATCTTATCGTAAAGGAAGTGCAGCTCCTTTGTGGAGCGCGTGAAGATGTCGTTTGGATTAACAAAGAGCTCTGGGAAATGAAGTTGTTCCTATGGAGTGCTGATAAAAGAAAAGCGACAGAGGAGGGACTAAAAAATTGGGTGGGAGACGTGAGAGAGCTGGCTTATGATGCCCTCGATGAGTTCATCACTCGGATGAAGATTTTAAAGCACCGAAGACGACTAAAGCATGGATTAAGTTTTATCAAGAAGTTTATAGTCTATCATAAGTTCGCGACTGAGGCCCAACAAATTAAGAGGAGGGTTAAGGAAGCAAATGATAGGAGGTTGGCATCCCATTTAGAAGCAGCAAGAGATGAAGGAGCGCCCTCAAATGACTCCATCACACATTGGCGAGATCCACGGCTCGTTTTCTCTTCATGGAGGAATCTGACATCGTGGGGATCGACAAGCCCGTAAGTGAATTTAGTTCTTGATTATTACTTCCAGTGTCAAAACGTAGAGTGCTTTCTTGGTGGGGATGGGTGGAGCCGGTAAAACCACTCTAGCACATAGAGTGCTTTCTTGGTGGGGATGGGTGGAGCTGGTAAAACCACTATAGCAAAGAGAATTTACAATTCCTTGAAGAGCAGTTTTACCATGGGTCATTGTATCACAATCCTTTAGGATCGTAAACATACTTAAATCTATTATCAAAGACTTTGGTATTGTAAGCAGTTAGGAGGGAACCTCCAATGAAACTGAGACGGAACTCCAATCCAGACTTTTGAACGATATCAATAATCATGTATGGAAGAAAAGGTTTTTGGTGGTTTTTGATGATGTATGGACGCGCGAGGTAAATAATCTCATCAATTCCACATTGTCAGAGTTTGAAAATAGAAGTAGAATAATCATCACGGCTCGTGACAAACGAGTAGCGAACATGGCGAACACAACACAGAGAGGCACATTTACGATATTGAACTTATGAAAAATGGTGAGGCTTTTGATCTTTTCTGTATGAAGGCATTTCGGCATGATACAATGTGTCCTGATGAGCTTAGAGATTTGGTAGACGTCCTTGTGGCAAAATGTGGTGGCCTACCCCTGGCTGTCGTTGTCATGGGAGACATTATGTCAAGGAAGCCAATGACAGATGTGGAACGGGAGTAGGGTTTTTGAAGATCCCCAATGGGAGGTCCATGAAGGTGGTGGTCATGTCTCTCGTGTTCTCTCATTTAGCTATAATGATCTTCCTCTGCATCTCAAATCATGCTTCTTATATTGCAGCTTATTTTCTGAGGACTTTGAGATTGATATGCATATATTGATAAGTCTATGGATTGCTGAATGGTTCATTGAAGAGAGGCCAAGGAAAGTCATGGAGCACATAGCAGATGAGTACTTTAGGAAACTTCTTGACAGAAGCATGCTACTAGTTGGTGAATTCGAGGATGATAGGGATGTCCTTTATTGCCGAGTTCATGATGTGACACATGAGTTTGCACTTTCCATTGCCAAGGAAGAGATATTGGGTGAATTCTATGGTGGAGAATGTAAATTTGAACCCCGTGAAGAAAGCCGTGGCCTCTTTATTGTTGTTCGACTATATGGAAAATCTTAAGAATAGAGACATGTCACGACTTCGTTCTCTCTTAGTGTTTGGAGGCACTTCTCCAGAACCATTGAGTTGCAGATTCAGGAAATTGAGAGTATTACGTGTTGAAGATTCTGAATTCCTGCAGACTTGTATTACCATGAGGGATATGGTACACTTGAGGTATTTAGAAATAGATGGCACCTCAAACAATTTGTCAGAATATATCCACAACCTTGTGAGTCTACAAACCTTGTTTATATTGAAGTTTCTTAAAATGATTTCACAGTCACTGAGGCGTGTAATTTGTGAAGAGATAACCTTCAAGTATCCCAAAGCAATGAGAAGCCTAGAAAATCTGCAGACCCTTGTTGCTGTAAATATAACTGATGTAGGTGTGGTTAGAGAACTTGGTTTCTTGACGAGATGAATTTATGAACAGGCTGGAGCTCCAAGAAGGAGAGGACCATTTCAAAATACAACACATCCCCCTTATATCATCAGACTGAGTTCTAGGTTCTCTTCTGCTTCTCTAAATAGTTTGTGCCCTATTTTAAATCTAATCTGTGACAATGGATTAAGAGCGTGGGAATGGGTTTTGCTCGTCGGAAAAGAAGTAGATCACATTTCAAAAAGCTTGCACATCCTAGGTGTTTGTTGCAAGACGAGTCAAAAGGTAATAAATAAAATTCTTGTTATTATCTTTTTATTTTTTGGGAAAATATGCAGTGTAGCTGGCCATCTGTGTCCATCCTCTACTGTGGACGATACAGATTGCTCTTCTATCTATGCTTCGTACTTTTCTAAATAAATTGAACATCTATGTTCCCTTCCTAGTATTGTTTTGCGCTTCTCTGAATAGTTTGTGCCATGCATTCAATCTTAATATACATGAAGACGGACATGAGTGGTGATTATAAGTGATTTTATTTGTGTTTTTGTTAATGCGATGTAGTGCTCAAACTGGTCCGATCAGATCCTCCTTCTCATTTCTTTTTATGTAGTGCCTCTAAATTTGGCTCTCTACTAGTAACGTTTTAGCTTCTCGTGCCTTAGCTTTGTCAAATTTTTTGTTCGATTGAACTTCTTGAATTTTAGATTCTTAAACTTTAGAGAAATTTATGATGATGTCCTCTGAAGCAACGTTATTGCATGGATATGATGAAATTTTTTGTTGTCTATGTTCATACTTTATTTTTTTTACACTAAAACTGACAAAACAATTCTTAGTGTAGAAATGACTTTGAAGATCAACGTTATTACAACCAAAATTTCACCCAAGTTAGTCAAAGGACCTGGCCGCAAGCATATGCATGTCAATGGAAACGCTTTCGCATAGTAAGATAATTGAGAGAGAGGAGAACTAAAAAAAAAAAAAAGCTCTAGAGCAAGCGGTCTGAACTCAAGACTTGTTGAAATGACTTTGAAAATCAAAGTTATTTTAACAAATCTTCAAAAAGTCATTTCAACAAAACTTGACAATGAACGTTGGAGTCACTTTGAAAACATTGATTGGAAACATGATTCCTAGTCATTAACAATTTGGATCTTGATGGTCTATATGGGAGATATGTAAAATTATAAAAAAGATAAAAGGGTTATGAAGAAAATTAAAGTTTTTATAAATAACCGTACTTTAAGAGGATGTGAGTGTAAATTTCTCATAGCCGATGCAGTTAAATAAGGGATGTTAAGTATATGCTTTTGAATAGCAATCTGGTGATAGAATGGAACAAAGTAGCTCGATAAAAACTATACCTCAAGGTAACATAATACAATGCAGTAATGCAGTTGAGGTATCCTAGAATACTTGAACTTTTTTTAAAGCAAAAAAGAAAACATTATAAAATTACCTATATTAAAATTGATAATTTATAAATTATTATAAATTAGTCAAAATGCCAACCATAATATATTAGGAAAATATATCCATACCTTTTATTCTTAAGTTTCATTTCACAATAGACTCGAGGTTTTAAAAGATATCTTGAAGCATAAAAATTATAGATTTTATTTCTTCTAACCTCCTAAGCTAATTTAAACCTATTTTTTAGGTCAAACAAATCTAAAAACACATGTCTTTTCTAAAAGCCATCCTCCCAAACTTCTAGAGAGATAGAGGGGCTCCATAGAGGTGAGAGGTTATTGGGAGTAGAGAGAGGTGTTTGAAGAAACATGAGAGGAGAGAGAGAGTGAGATAGATGTAGGAAAAGAGTGAAAGAGAGAAGTTTGGGGTATATAAGTGAAGAGAGAAAAATGATTGGGTTTAGAAATAACATGTCTTTCTCACATTTGTCAGGTTAAAAACTAGGTTTAAAGTGACAATGGGGTTAGAAGATATTTTTTGAATCCTTGGGTTTATCAAGAAATGAAACTTAAAAATAAGCGATATGAAGATATTTTTTCTAAATATAAAATCATAATAGCCCTTTTTAGCATATTCTTAGAATATTATTAGAATTAAACATTATCAATCAATCTTACACCCAAAATGAATTAGAGAGAAATAAATTGTGTAATTTTGCACATATATGGTTGCAGAGGGGTGTTCATGGGTTGGGTTGGGTCTCGGTTGGTCCCGACCTTGCCGGTGTTGGGTTCCAACCATTAGACCTAGACAGGTTGGATCGCGTTCCTCCGAATAAAAGAAAATATTTGTTTTACATATTTTGTATTGTACAAATGATCTTACACGAACACACACGCTTGCACAAGTACACACACATATCGTATTGGGACCAATCATATCGATATTGACCTTACCCACCTGACCTATTAAGGTCTAGGATAGATCCAGATCTAAATCGAACCTAGATTTTGTCAGAGGGATTAAATGGGTCTAAAAAAGAAGGAACCCAAGTGAAGCCACCATAACTCTTCTAACTTTTGGAATACCTAACTTTATCGTTTCCTATGTGGATTACATACCATCCTGATCTAAATGGGACCACCCAAAATAAGCTCTCAGAAAACGGTAAGTTAGTTAAAGACAATCCGCAAATAATAGGTGACATTAATAACTAGGAAACCCAAAAAATAGGAGAACCCAAAATGCAGGAAACAATCCCTTAGCTATAAGGATTTAAGACAAACTTAACAAATCTCCACATTGGTTGGAATTCCAGATGAGATTCCTACTTCTTGCCTTCTCCATATATGCCCCTACAGGCAGTCACCTTAAAAACACATTAATTAAGTCTAAGTATAACTTGAACTTTTGTAATGGAACTATTTTTTTTCAGCATATCTAGAATATTCTTCATGGGATCAATCTTCAGCAACAAGACATCACTTTTTGCTATTATCTTATGGGTAAATGGAACCTTACATAGTATACCTAGTTTTTTACCAAATGTATTGTGCTCTGACTATCACAAATAGACAATAGTTTCATCCTATTGTAAACGCAATTCACTTACATGCACATTAAGCCAAATAGCTTATTTCACTATTTAAGTGACAACCATGTATTTTGCTTGGATTATAAATAAGGTCATCATGGTTTGTAGCATCAACTTCTAACTGATCAGATTTTTTGCATGAATAAATATATAATATGTAGTAGATATTTTACAGTCCAAACCACCTACATAATTGGCATCAACATAACTAATAAGCTTGTCACCACACTTGTTACTATTATCAAACACCAGACCCACATTTGATGTGCCCCTTAGGTAATGTAGAATCTATTTTACTGCATGTCAATGCTCCCATATGGATTAGCCATATACTTGTTAATAACACTAACATTATGAAAATATCTGGAAGAGCGCAAGACATTGTAAACATGCTTCCAACTGCACACACATAGGGAAAACGAGACAAATATTCATTTCGGCATCCGAACATGGAGATAATATTGCTGACAATTGGAAATGCATAACAAGAGTACGTATGGGCTTTGAATTTTCTATCCCATATCTGTTGAGTACCTTATCATTGTACTACTTCTGAGACAGTTGCAATTTACTTAACTTTCTTTTCTACATATTTCCATACCCAAAATAATAATCATAATAATAATTCCAAGCACAATATTTACACCTAAATATTATAAGGCATGTATATTACTAAATTTAAATAATAAAAATATTTATTAGAATAAAATTATGAGAAATAAATCACAATTTGCAGGGAAAAACAATGTAATTAGATGGCTAAATCCACCCCCACTTCAAAGACATGTACTCGGAAAAATTATTTGATGTTCCCAAAGGCTTTGCAAAAGCCGCAATAAAGTTACCATCATCATTCCTAATCACACCACCACAGCTATCCAAACTTGCATTTTTTGGGGTGGATCTCAGGTGAAGAAGGGAGGACCCTAGAATTGTAATTCCCTTCTGGTGGTGTGGCTTGAGGGGAAAAGCAAAGGAGGTAAAACATTGGGCTTGTTTTTCTTTCTAATAGTTGAAATTGTGGTGTTGTCTTTCACTCTCTCAGCTGAAATAGCTTCTCCCTTTCCTACTGGTGTAGCTTAGGGAAGCCACAACAACAA